ATCACTAGTAGATACTATAAGGACGTAAACCTTATATATCTCTGACACTAGAGCCCTATGTCACTGTATGGGCACCCCTCCAACGAAGTCACATGGCCAAGAGGGGACCTAAACTGGAGCGCTCTTGAAAGCCCACTGCTCAAACAATAGAAGGAAGCTGTTCAGGTTCTAAAACTAAAGTGAGGTTCCAGGCTCACCCGCTCTCCCTTTGGAGGCCTCTTCTCCCACACCCATCACTCGGGTTCCCCACTAAATTGACTTCTTGCAGCCTTTAGCCCTACCCATCTCACTTCACCTGGAGAGAAGACTAGGCAGAGTCAATTTTTCCCACTTCCAGATATGGCCTGGTTTGTTCTGCATTGATCAATAGAGTGTGGCAGATGAGCCTCTGTGTGATTCCAGAGCTTAGGCCTCAAGAAGCTCCTGGTTTCCACGCTGTACTCTTGCAAAGCTTCCCTAAACCATCACATAAGGAGACTTGCGGGCCTCCTTGGCGATGTAGGAGTTAAAGACAGCACTGTGAAGCTATCACCAGCCACTGCAGTGTGAGTTTGATCCCTGGTCAGGGGGGTGACCCACATGGCACAGCAGACCTCTCCTGTCTTGCCTATTGCTCCCTTCAGCAACAGTGTATTTAAGTACACCTGACTGTTCTGCTCTCCACTCTGTCTCTGGTGAATCCTCTAACCCCTCACACAACCTCTGGCCTGCACCCCAGTTCTTGTATGTATAAAAAGTAAATCTTTTTAAAAAATAATAAAGAAACTGGTGTAGCTTACTGGAGGGTGAGAGGCCACATGGAGGAAAGCAAGATGTGCCAGTGTATACCTTTGTCGATCACCAGTCAAATGAGGCTATTTTGACTCTTTTAGCACCCTATACCCTCCAAACTGAAAGATGCTGTTAAAAATGAAGTCAGCCCATGTTTATTGCTGCTTTATTTACAATTGGAAAAACATGGAAGCAGCCCAAATGCCCAAAAGTAGATGACTGGATTAGAAAGATGTGGTACATATATACAATGGAATATTACTCAGCAACCAAAAAAGAGAAACACATGTCTTTTGCAGCAACTTGGATGGAACTGGAAAAGATCATGCTTAGTGAGATAAGCCAGAAAGAGAAAGAAAAATACCGGATGGTTTCACTCATAGCAGGAGTATAATGGACCAGGTGGAAAATAACAAAAATAATGAACAACCATATACCAGAGACATTTTGTGGGGGTGGAGTGGGGAATGGGATCAAAAACGGGGTGGGGGGAGGGAAATGCACGGGATTATGGTGATGGCACACGGGTGACTTGGTGATGGGAAACCCGCGGGGATTACAATTGAGATGGAAAAAAAAATGTACAAAATAATGTAAAAATAAACTTTTGTAATTAAAAAAAAAATGAGGTCAGATGAAATAAGCAGAGGGCCAGTTAGGGGTAGAAATGGGCTCTTAGATACTTCCCCAGATGAGTACAGTTGCATTTTTGCATTTTGACATTCCAGCTATCACTCTTGCAAAGACTAGATAAGATTTGGCAAGTCCAGGAAACTTCTGGAGGGCTGGGGAATTCAAGTTCTGGAAGCAAGCAACACATAATTAAGAGGAACTCCTTCCTGGAAAGAAGACCCTAGTGCTTTACAGCCACCTACTACCTTCTTGTGCAGTGTACTTGACTTTCTAATAAGCTTTGGTAGGCTTTTTCTGGTCCTTTCTGAAATTCTTTTCCCACAAGACACAAAGAACTGACTGGTGTCAGAGTACCCAGCACAGCCACTTAACCCATCAACAAAAGAATGAGAAGTAGTAAATTTTTTTTTTAAACTACTAAGTTTTGGGGTAATTTGTTACATGATGATGGAAAATGGATATGTGTCCTCACCTCCAAAAACATATGAAAATTGTTAGCATAGTTCTTGGCTTACAAATCTTAGCTATTTTATTTATCCCTAAAGTCTCTTCTCTGCTGATACCATATAGCATTTCTTCATGTTACATTCCTCATAACCCGAAAGGACTCTTGATGGAAGGAAAGACTCAGTATGTGACACTCTCAGCCCCATGGCTCAGTTCCAACTCATACTTTGGTTGTGAGGCTACAACTCTGTGGTCCTGCCCTGGAAGTTATTTATTAGTGACATGGTATTTCTAAACATAAATCTGAGTTCTTATTCTTACATTTCCAGATTTCCATCTCAAGCATTCTAAACTCAGCCCACTGACCAAGTATGTTTGGGTACAAAAGGAATGACAGGTAATTTAATAATGTTCCTAATAAAAACAGCACATGGGAACTAGTGACGATTTGAAACTGAAATCATCATCAATATGTGTTCAATTTCTGTACATTAGTGAATTATCAATTCACTATATCAATGTTTTCTACAAAGTACTGACCCTACATTCAATAATTATTGACTATTGTTTTCAATGGAATCTTTAATACCATTTTCATATATTATTTATTTTCATATTCCCCTCCCAATTTTGGGTACATAATAGTTTCTCAATAATTGAATAATAAATGAGTATGGTGTGCATGGTTGAAATGAAGAGAAAAAATTCCCAAGTTCCATTAAAATGTTTACATAGGTAAAATTGGAATCATTTTCTAACTTTCTATCCTGCCCCAACCCAGTTCCTCCACCTTCTCTGCCTTATATTAGATTCTTAAATTCCTTTGGCTCAGTCCAGAAATTACTTCCAGCAGAAGACTTTGCCTGAAACTTCCACACCAGACAGGAACCTCTCTAATGTATTCCACAAAGGGCTGTCTACATTTCTGTTTCTTCAACACTACAGTATATGGCAAGTTCCTGCATGGCAATAATTTGAGTGAATTTTTCATTCATTGTTGTGCCCAGCAGAAATTAGTAATAACAGCTATTACACCACAAATTATTTCACCTACAGGACCAGCTGCTGCAGTAAACATCTTACATGGATTATCTCTCCAGTCCTAAAAATAGCTTCAAATTAGATTCCCTTTTATAGGTGTGGAAACGGACACGTGGAGAATTTAAATAACTTGCTCAGTCACTAGCCAGAAAGAGGCAGTCAGAGACTTAACTCAAAGCCTGAATTCACAGTCCATCTGTTCTGACACTAGTTAGATCTTTAAGAAATATGTGTTGAGTTAATCAACATTTTCCAAAAAGTACTACACAGAACAACCATCCTTGCCACTTTTCCTGCTTTACGCTTTCTGAAGGGTTGAAAGGGGATTATGTATAAAAAGGAGGGAATTAGAAGAAAGAAAAAGGAAATGGATAACTAGCTTCTAAATGAAATTATTTATCATACAATACAAGTATATTAAACACCAAGCACATTAAAAACTTCAAGACACTTAGGCAATAAAAGTATGGTATTCAGGCCCTCCCTGGTGGCGCAGCGGGTTAAAGCACAGCACTGAAAAGCTAAAGCCACTTCCGCATGAGTTCGATTCCCGCCTGCCCCGGAGGTGACCACATGGCGCGGCAGACCTCTCCTGACCCACCCGCTGCTCCCCTCAGCAGTGTACTATGTCGATCTGCCTGTTCTGTACCCCACTCTGTCTCTGGTGAAGCCTCTCGCCGCCCCTAAGCCTCTGGCTTGTACCCCAGTTCTGCATGCACAAATAAATAAATCTTTAAAAAAAAAAAAAAGTATGGTATTCAACTAGATCCTCACAACTGAACGCTAATAGGTGGGCCACATGTTATTCAAGTGATCAACAATTCCACACCTACCCATAGACTCAGTCCCTTAGCACCCCAGCCTACTGTTACTGTTCCATTTTGCTCTACTCTTGCTATGTTGCACTCTACTCCATTTTACTTCACCCCACCCAACCCCATAACATTCCACTCCATTCTGTTCATTTTAATCCATTCCATTTCACCTCCCTCCCCTCCACCTCCATTCTAGTTTGTTCTCCTCCACACTGCTCTACTCCTACAAAACTCTATGAGGTATTAAGCATTCAGTTACTGAAGATACAATTGAATAAATATAGTTCCTACTCCCCAGAAGCTCATAAAGAAAGCTCAGGCTTTCTTTAAATCAATTAGGTTGTTTATTAAGAAGCAGTTAAAGCCCTCCCTGGTGGCTCAGTGGGTTAAAGCACAGCACTAAGAAGCTAAAGCCACTTCAGCATGAGTTCAATCTTCGCCCTGGAGGTGATCCACATGGCGCGGCAGACCTCTCCTGACTCGCCCGCTGCTCCTTCAGCAGTGTACTTCAATCATCTGCCAGTTCTGCTCCCCACTCTGTCTCTGGTGAATCCTCCCACCCCACACCTCTGGCCTGTACCCTAGTCTGTATGCATAAATAAATAAATCTTAAAAAAGAAGCAGCAGCAGCAGCTAAATACTATGCCATGAAATCTTAGCCTTTTGGATTTTCTGTCATTACAGTGACTACCTAAAATGGTGGCCAATCCCCTAGATGGAAAGAAAAACCAGAGAGGAGGCCCAGAAACAGAAACATTATGCAAGCTCACTCCACCCGCCATCTCTGCTCCTCGATCTACCTGTCATCCTGTGGATATTGCCGAGGAATTGTTTTGTGATCTGGCTTACCTTTGACCATGTTCCAAATCAATAACAGTGATTCCTGAGTCTTCCTCTGCATTGTGACTCTTTTCCTTTATCATGAACACACATGCTTGTAACATATATGCAGGATGCACTGCAAGATGCTGATTTCAATGTCTATTTTCTGGTTTCAGGTTATGTGTAAGACTATGAACCCCAATTAGAATTCACAGATGTGACCAAGCTACAAGGGTGTAATTTAAAATGGCAACCTAATTGTCTTGACCTCATAAAGTAATAAGAATCTCAATTCTGTCTCAATGATTTTCTTATTACACAAAGTGCTCTTACCTACATCTTGCACCTAGGACTCAAAGTGTCTAGTCACCAACTTAGTAGTGGCTTTCCAGCAAAGCAAGTCTTTTCAAGTCATGGGTTTTCTGAGAACCTTTACAAACCATAGTGCACAGCACCCGACACCTTTCCTACCTTTTCAGTGGTCCTGGAAAAGGGCTGAGTAGTCCAGGGAACCCATGATGTCTCTGTAATTGCAATCATCTGCCTGTTGGGATGCTGCCTCATGCTGCTGTTCTGACTGTAGTTTTCCGTAGTGCTTCTGGTGAAGGTCTCAGTGGTAATCCTACTTAGATGTTCTGGCTTATAAGGAACTGCTTTAAAAGTCATGGGGATGTGAGGAGAAGCCGTATTTCTAATGCTCCTTACTGAAACTTCTGCTCCTGGGCCAGCTGAGGGAGAAAGGACAGTTGCTAAAATTACCCTTCAGATTTTGAATTCTTCACGTAAAAGCAATTTAAATTTTTCTTAGAAAAAGAAGAAATAACACATGTTAACAATGAACATGCAGACAAGCATTAGTGATATGAAAAATAAAAGATACTTTGGATTAACATTGCTGGTTGACCTTGTCCAGCTTACCCATTCCTTATAGATCTATGAAAACTGTTCTACTAGGGAGGGCCCCAACTCTGTGGAGAAAACAGGACTAAAATTCTATGAATATTTTGGGCGTGGAGCACTGAATTGGTTTGGGGGAATCCTTGAATATCTAAAAACTTCATGCAAAATACTGAATACTTATACAAATGTACAAATATTCTGTGGGGAACTTACTTAATTTTCACCAACTTCTCAAAATGGTCTTTAAAATACCAGGCTGAGGGCTCTCCCTGGTGGGTTAAAGCCCAGCACTAAGCAGCTAAAACCACTTCAGCATGAGTTAGATCCCTGCCCAGGAGGTGATCCACATGGCGCAGCAGACCTCTCCTGACCGGCCTGCTGCTCCTTCAGCAGTGTACTTCAACCATCTGCCAGTTCTGCTCCCCACTCTGTCTCTGGTGAATCCTCTCACTGCCCCTGTACCTCTGGCCTGTACCCCAGTTCTGTATGAATAAATAAATAAATCTTAAAAAAAAAAAAAAACAGGCTGAGAATCACTGTAAATGACGTGTCTAACTTGGTCATGAAGATCGATGAATCCTTGGAAAACGGTGACATTTCTTTACTACAGCTCATATGTTTCTAATCCTAATTGTGTGAGTACCAAGTAATGGGACTTTGGTATATTCTAAGTGCCCTATGTTCTTTAAGAAAGCAAATTGATTTAAACTTTAAAAACAAATGGTTTGTGAAATATGGCTAGCCATAATATTAAAATGTGCTCTTGGGGCCTCCCGAGTGGCTCAGGGCTTAAAGTCTCAACATTATATAAAGCTATCACCGGCCACTATGAGTTTGATCCCTGCCCTGGGAGCTGACCCACAAGGCACAGCAGACTTTTCCCCTCAGAAATGTATTTCAGTAGATTTGCCTGTTCTGTTCACCACTCTGGTGAATCCTCTCACCCCTGTACCTCTGGCCTACACCCTAGTTCTTCATAAATAAGTAAAAATAAATCTTTTAAAAAAAATTTCACTTCTCTCTCTACTTCTTGAGATTCCTGCTGACATTGTAAATCGATTCAGTAGAGATCATTAGTTAAAGGTGATGCCAATGATGACACTGAGGATCTTTGGGTCACACTTTGTGTATCAATACTCATAGGGAAAAGTAGTACAATATGAACTTCGGAAAGGTGTGTAACTCATTAGATAAGGTGCTTTATAGTTCACCCAAGTTTTCTGGCATATAGGACCACATAAAACCATTGCCCAATTAGATAATCATAACTTTGAAGATTTCTGATATAGTCTAGCCAAAGATTTCATTTTCTACTGGTTTACTAAAACAGCTACTTAATTAAGCAACTACTGTGTGTCAAATGGTAGTCTCCTAAAAGGTTATTAATCATTGCATATTTGCATATTCCTGTTCTGATCTACCTGTGGACCCTTCTTTTGATGTTCATTCATTTCCATTCCAATTTCAACTAACTAACATGTATTAAAGGATAACATTTATAAAGAAGTAGGGGATAGGCACAGAAATAGGATCAAAGTGGTAAAGTATTTTAAAAATCTAGCAATATCTAAATTCTCTTAAAATTGTTTATTTAAAATATCATGATTATCAAGCATCCTTTCCATGAGCTCTAGAGGGTTGTGCAAAGTACTCCTTTTTTTCCAGATTTATAAAATATAAACAAATATAAATATGTGGTGTCCAGTTAAATTAGAATGTCATATAAAGAATGAATAGCTCACTAAGTTTAGTATGCTTCAAGTATATAATATTACAGATGTCATATTATATTATATAATAGAAATGTACTTATACTAAAAAATATTTGAAACTCAAGTGTACCTAAATATTACATATTTTATCTGGCAAGCTTACCTGTACACCTCTCAGATTCAGGTTTGATTGATTTTTGGACTTTCACCCAAGTTTCCATATCTTTCAGAACCTATGCCACTATCACTACCAAAGGTTAGCCATTCTGAATGTAGATCAGGAGATTTATTTATCTGTGAGGTGTTTCTACATGACAAGTGTACTAGAAGTAATATTCCTTTACAACAAATTTGGAGAAGTATCTTCTTTTGCAGTCTGAATTGAGCTAGGTCTTGAAATGTTCCTTTAAGAGGGCATCTTTTGTTGAGATGTCAAAATTTCTATCCTACATTGAGATTAGTACTTTAGTCATTTTGAGCTTTGGCCAAAGTTTATTTTCTGAGTTGATTACCACATGACAATTTTAGCCCTCAGACTCTTAAAAAAGATTTAATGATACGGCTAGACTAGAACAAGTTTCCAAGTACCTAGAATGTAATTACATGTCTTATCATGTAAACCTATGCTCCATTCTTCAAAGTGGAGCAATAGGTAAGTTTTCATCTTAATTCAAAGGATGAAACATGACATTCCCAAAATCAGATAAATTAGCATAATATATTCACATTTCAAGTAACTTTGGTATACTGTATGGGAAAAATTCAGTCTTCTGAAATTATCTCTCATTAACCTTCTAAATATATTTTTTAAATACCCCAAGCCAAACAAGTCCATTTTCCATTCTAGGCCACTGCTGCTTTTTTTTCCAAAGAAAGAACCTACAGAATATCTAAGTCCAGTACCCTTTCATTTTGTGACTGTGTCTTTAGCTTGTGCTATTTAAGAAGTAGGAAAAAGCTTTAGTCTTAACATTCAATTTCCAAATTTCATGAATTTTAAAGTGTAGTTTGCAAACTTTGGTAAGCATTGGGATCACCTCTGGAGCTTGTTAGAATATTGAACCTTTGGCTCTACCCTAGAAATGATGATTCATTCGATTTGTGAAGACCCAGAAATGCATCTGTATTTCTATCCTGTTTTTCAGGTTATTCTAATGTCCTAAGCACTTGATTTTTCCATAAGTACAATTAAGACAAACTGAATTTTTATCATCCCTTATGTTGGTAGTGAGCAATTATAAACTAGATGGGAGGAAAGAAAATCTATTATAGAAATATGTAAAGCAATAAAAAGAAGTCCATCTTTCCATCTTCTGGGAATAACATTAAAAATAATAGAATTATTAGGGAACTAGGGAATAACATTAAAAATAATAGAATTACACTAAAAATAATAGATCTTTGGATGTTTTGATAGCTATACATTCTTCAGGTCTTTAAAAATATATACTTTTTACAGTTCATGAAAAAGTAAGAATTGTTTTGACAAATGCAAGGAAAAGTTCTTATACAATGGAACAATATGTAGCAGCTATTTTTAAAAAGCTTTATTGTACCAATGCTAAGACATTGTTTCCACATGACACGCAATTCCTCTAAAAATATAATTAAAGATAAGGTAGACCATCCTGGGTCCAATCTAAAAGTTTTAGCACTAACACTGCAAATAGGTCATGTATGTGATGATTTGCAATGGGTACAACATAGTAACACCATATTTTGAATACATTTTTAAAGCAATGTGCATTTTAGCTTATTAATTAGTTATCACTGACTCAGATATAATGGAAATGGAATATTTATATAATGATAATAAATACATAACTTGTTGGCTTTTTTTTTTTTTGCCTTGAAATGATATACATAAATTTCAAACATGTTGGAAAATAGCGTAACTGAATAGAACATTTGAAGATAGAAAATTTTACCTATATTTGTACTTCCTATCCTGTAGGAAGATGACAGATATAATGTGCCCTTTAATAGTGGAAAATAATCTGGAAAAGTGATAAAATATCAAACACGAATTACCTTAAAGGAAGATGATTTTTTGTATATATGTTACATAGACAGGTAAAAATATATTAGATATAAGGTTGGTAGAATAAAGGTGAAGTGAAAGGGATAGGGACTACTATCATTTAATCATTAGAAATAGCAAAAAGAATACAATTTCAGGCATACAGTCATAAAATAGAGTATATTAAATATACACTTAAAATTTGAGAAAGTGAATAAGGAAGTGAAAAGTGAAGAAACTAAGAGAGAATTTGCAAATAAGGGTACATTTAACAATCAGAGGTCATAATCAGAGATTAAGAATTTTTTTTTTTACTAATTGAAAACAGTCAAGATTAAAAATAAAGTAAAATTAACAAATGGAAGTTAAATAATAAATGAAAGATTAATTAAGAAAATGCTTTTCCAAAGCCAATTCCTACTTAACCACTATACTAGAGGACACATTATGAACATGTGTCTGGTTGATTCTAATGTTCCATGTTTCACATCTATGGGAAGGATGAGAAGGTGTGGCGAAAGGGATGAGAAGAAGCCAGGCCCAATGGCGGAAGAGGGTTGGTTTATAAGCTTGTGGTCTGCATAGGGGAGAGAGATGTGGAACCAGATACCTGTAAATGGGTAGGGGAAGAGGCATTGGACAGTAGGTGAATAGCTTGGTGTATCCAGGCCAACTTATCCCTTTAGTATAACAAACATGGTGCTTAGGGTACATAATATTTTAGGTCACACACCTCAGGGAAAAATGAAAATTGCCGTACCCATGACAATATTTCACTCCTATTTTTTTAATGGGGGAAGGAGCCCACAAAGACATAAGAACTCAGGGCCCTGTGACAGTTGTATTTAGTCCTGGGTGATCCCTGGTAACTTCATTGACATATCAAGAGTTGAAAATCATTGGGAGTAGCTGGGTGCTATGCCAGATATTTTTCAATAATTATATAAGTCATGTATCAGTCATCAATGATCACATAATTTTAGATGATTAGCTAATAAATGGTCAGTTACCAGGTCCACGTTGCTACAATGATACAAGAAAATAAACCTATAGACAATTTGGTGAAAAAGTATCTGTATATACAAAAGATTTTTTCTGTTTTGTTTTATCTCCTTGAGGCCTCAATACTTACAAGAACATTTACTAATTTTTAGAGTAAGTAGCTTCTACTTAAACCCATTCTCCTGAGTATATAGACTGCTTACCTTTTTTTTTTTTTTAAAGATTTATTTATTTATTTGTGTATACAGAACTGGGGTACAGGCCAGAGGCTCAGGGGCGGTGAGAGGCTTCACCAGAGACAGAGTGGGGAACAGAACAGGCAGATCTACGAAATACACTGCTGAGGGGAGCAGCGGGCGGGTCAGGAGAGGTCTGCCACGCCATGTGGTCACCTCCGGGGCTGGCAGGAATCGAACTCATGAGGAAGCGGCTTTAGATTCTCAGTGCTGTGCTTTAACCCGATGTGCCACCAGGGAGGGCCTAGACTGCTTACCTTTTACAATGAATTTTATTTCTTCACTTACATTACTACAATTAAACAATTACTTTAACCAGCAATTATATCAGTTTTGCTTAGAATGTGATTTACTTCAGCAGCAAAATTTCTTTCAGTAATTTCACTAGCCCAATCATATCAGGGACACATGAAAATATGTCTAGATAAATTTACCTCTTATTGATAGACAAGAGGCAGACCTTGTAAAACATATCCAAATGATGGCCTTTTGTACCCTTCATCTGAAAATTCTCTTTTTTTAGATTTATTTACTTATGCATACAAGAACTAGGGTGTAGGCCAGAGATGTGGGGAGGTAAAAGGATTCACCAGAGACAGATTGGGGAGCAAAACAGGCAGATTTACTGAAATACACTGCTGAGGGGAGCATCAGGTGGGTCAGGAGTGGTCTTCTGTGCCATGTGGGTCCTTGCCTGGGGATCGAACTCTTGCTGCAGTGGCTGCGGTAACTACATAGTGCTGCGCTTTAATGCGTTGTGCCCTGATTTGAAAACACTTAATGGTCGCTGCAGCACTTTTTACAATATCCTGATTATGGAATATGCCTCACAACAGATGATGCATCAAGAAGATGTGGTCTACAGATACTATGGAATACTATGCAGTGATCAAAAAGAATAAACATTTGTCGTTTATGGCAGCATGCATGGAGCTAGAAGTGTTAAGCAAAATAAAATGCTAAGCAAAATAAATCAGAAGGAAAAAGATAAGCATCAGATGGTGTCACTTTTATGTGGAATATAGAAAAATCAAAGGGTAAGACAAAGATAAACCTTGAAAGCTGTATTTGTGAGAGGAGGAGGAATGGGAGAGTAAAAACAAGGAGGGAAGAACACAAGGGGATATGGTGTTGGACTATGGGTGCTTTGGTGGTGGGAGAACTAGTGACTACATCTGAGGGGAGTGATCTTATATTATCCAAACATTAAATTAAAAAATAATAAAAATTGAAAAACAAAAAGGGTTATTTGGAGTCATTCATTGCATACAGCTGAATGCAATTTAATTTTTCACAATGGATTCTCTAGCAAGTTAGTTTCCATTTTATGGGTATAACTAATGTCATTCTGTATGGATGGAACAGAAAAATGTGTCTGTTAACATAATTGTGTTAAATAAAAAGTGTTATACTCATAAATATGCAAATATACAATTTTTTGGTAGCACTAATGTACAAATTCTAACTCTGGTTTATCTAAATGTCCATTTTTCAGCCAAATATTTACCAGGCATGTTTTAGATATAGTGGTTCAGTTGTTGATTGTAAACATTTGATTCTATCTACTTTACTTTTGAAGTGAAATCCATCAGTGTATATGTTTTGTGTGAAAGAAGAGAATTTTTTCATTGAGTAGCTTCTATTTTTAATAACTTCCACTAAATCCACATCTATTTTTTAAAAATTCCAATAAAAGAATATTCTGCTCCATAAAGTCTGATTGGGAGCTAGAGGAGAATTTCACTTTGTGTGTATAAAATTTATAATGTTTCTGTGCTGTTTAGGCCAGACTATAGGAAGGAATTGTACAAAATTAATACTACATATTGTATATAGGAAGGAATTGTACAAAATTAATACTACATATTGTATATTTTCTGATAAATTTTGACTTCCTAATCAACTTTACAATGTTTGTCTTATTCTCATAGTGAGTTTTAGAGGAATAAGCCCCTACAATGCTCAGCTTTTATTGTAGAAGAGACCAATATATTTGTTTAGCTGCTAAATAAACCCTTATCTAATATATGAATTAAATGACAGAAAATAAAAAAATAGCATCTAATAAGAACATGTAATAAACCATGTATACTGACCTCCAACTAGGGTTGTGTATAAAAATTATCTGAGGTGCTTTTAAAAATCAAATATAATGCCCAAATTCAGATTTCTTGAAATAAGATCTTCATATTGTCATGATAGAAAAAATTGTGGCAACGATTCTCTCCTCCCCCAAATGATTCTTACAGAGTCAGTTAGTTAAAAAGTCTGTGGTCAATGCATCCCTGGTGGCACAGGAAGTAAAGTCTCAGCACTATGAAGCTATCAGCAGCCACTAAGGCACAAGTTCTATCCCACACAAGGGAGCTGATGATCCACATGGCGCAGCAGACCTCTCCTGTCTAGACTGCTGCTTCCCTCAGCAGTGGATTTCAGTCCATCTGCCCATTCTGCTCCCTATTCTGTCTCTGATGACTCCTCTCACCCTCTGCACCTCTAGCCTACACCCCAGCTCTTTTTTTTTTTTTAATTTATTTATTTGTGCATACAGAACTGGGGTACAGGCCAGAGGCTCAGAGGTGGTGAGAGGCTTCACCAGAGACAGAGTGGGGAACAGAACAGGCAGATCGACAAAGTACACTGCTGAGGGGAGCAGCGGGCGGGTCAGGAGAGGTCTGCAATGCCATGTGGTCGCCTCCGGGGCAGGCGGGAATCGAACTCATGCAGAAGCGGCTTTAGATTCTCAGTGCTGTGCTTTAACCTGCTGCGCCACCAGGGAGGGCCTCACCCCAGCTCTTAATAAAATAAAAATTCCTAGCACAGGACTTAACTACAGTGCTGTGCCAGGAATCTGTGCATTGTACACAAGTGTTTACATTGGCCACCATCTAGTTTACATCCATCAATGGTCAGCAATGGTGGCTTTGCATGGCCTCTTATATTTCAAAAGTGTACAATCCCCCAAAGATATTATCCCTAAACACTAGTACCAGAAATTTGCAAAAGCACAATTTATCACCATGCTAGTCCTATTATCACTTTGATGTTCTCAGATTCCTGGATCATTAATCTCAGTTATACGTGCTGACTGTTACTGCATTTTATTAAACATACATCTGTATGCCAAGATGTATCTCCATGATCCATTTCCATTAGCTTATGAATCCTTCTCAGGGGTTACTGGAACATGTAGACTTCCCTTGAATGTGACAATAAAACAAAACATGTAGCACAACTTCCAGAGCTGATTCTGAGGAATAGCTCACCTTTTTTAAAGCAGAGGTTTCCATGGACTAGTTTCCCCTCCTTGTTGACATCGATTTTCATCCAGCTATGGAGGTATTTGTTGTCCTTTTTCACCATTACCTTGTCGCCCTGTTTCTTGAGAAAGAGAGAGGTATTTTTCACCTCAAGGTATCCTTCCTCCATATAGCAGGTCCATCCAGGTGCCTGGGAGCAGGGGGCAAAGATGACTGATTGGGAAGGGCCCCCAAAGGAACTGATGATGCCCAGGCACAATGAGGACTCCACATGAAGGAGCTTTCCATCCTCAGTCCACGCCCACTGCTGGCTCTGGTCGGTGCCATTACATGAGCCGATGGCCACTCTCTCCGTTTTGAAAAGGCACTTTTGTTTCCGGACATGGACTATCTGAAACCCCTCTGGAAAATGAAAAAGTCATAAAGTGCTATGTAGCAAGTTGTCAGGGCCATTAGAAAACAAAACAACCCACTCACAAATCAGTTAAGGAAACACACAGGTCTGCCTATCTTTTGCTATTGCTATTAGTGCAGCTCAATAGTCTCAGATTCAATGCCTGTGATTTAAAACCCCCAAGGCTGATGAGTATTAAAATGTCAACATGTTTACCCTTTATATATTTTCACAGGGTTTAGAGGAGAAAACACACCCCCAATGAGGTAGTAAAAGGAAACTTGGGAAAGAGAATCACCCAAAAATTACGAGCTGTTGTTCTTTTTTTTTTTTTTAACCATTTTACTCTTGACCTCATCTCTGTCCATCCCTCAGAAAGACACTTCTTTTTCCTATACTTAGGTCACCACTGGAAAAAAAAAAAAGTTGTAAACAAATTGCATAGGTTGACTAACGATTGTAAAATTGTATCTATTTATCCAAGAAGAAAATTCAAATGAATTTTCCCACCTCTCTAAGCACACCCTCTTGCTCCTAACAGCTCATGAAAGCATTATCAAAGGATTAAATATCCTTAAGTCCTAGAGTGAGAAGCAGTTCTATATTTTGAGGAAACTTTTATAGTTTCCCCTCAAATACGCACACATTAGCAAATCAACATGTCTCAATGTTAGAAAATTAAATATCCAATTGTTAAGTGAGATTATTCAGGTTCATAAACCAATTCAATGTACATTCACTTAATTCACCCAGCTCTTCCTTGAAAATATTCAGATCTTCCTTCCAAATAACAACTTCCAAATAAAACACACCCCGGTTCCTTACCCCATTTGTTTATATATTTTTTAACACAAAGGAAAACAAAACTATAACCTGATTGGAATAAAGCATGGACAATACCACAGACTGTTACATAATGATAGAAATTTCCCCTCAGGGTGCTTTACTCTTTGCTGTAAAGATGCCATTTCAGAAGCTGCCCGGGTTTGGAGGACGGGAGGAGGCCATTTATTTTCTTTTGGAGAAATCTCAATAGTGTGGGCAGAGCTGCCTCCTTTCATTCCCCCTCCTCCTCCTCCTCGCCTTTGGCAAAACTGCCATGGAAACCTGGCTCCAATGTTGCCTTTTTTCAGACATAATTCAATGTCAGAAACTCCTTGCTGCTTAGCAGAGAAACACCTCAAGAAACTGAGGCAGGCCCACTCACCTAAGTTCACGAAGATCAAGCAGTTAAGAATCGCCATGTAAAATTCAGCCTCCATTTTCCACTTAACTGTTCATGCTTCGCTTGGGGGAAAAAAATTCTCCCAGATAAGAGAAGCAAAGACTAGGAAGGAAATGTGGGGGGAAAAGTCAGTGACGAGCACTTCCTCCTATTGAATTGTTTAGGGAAGTTTTACACTAGTGTCCTTTTGTCTGTTTCCTTAGAAAGAAGGGATTATGATTACCTCTCTTTTTTATGTAAAAAAATTCCAGCCTCCAGCAGCTGAATAAAATTGTCAAGTTTTCTTCCCTGTTCCCTCTGGCACATGACTACTTAACCTCAAGAGCAAAGAAAGGCATTGTAATCTAAGATAATTGAATGTTCCTGAAACATTACATCTCTTCAGGTGAGATGATTCTGCTGAATAGACACAAACCATGTAATTTTTGAAGAGGTATGACAAGTGACATAAAGACATAAACATGTGCTGTTTGTATAATGATACAGTGGGAGTCTATGGAGGAAAACTGCATAATGATGGCACTTCGAGATCATTATCGCTCAAGAGATGACAATGTTATATTTTGAGATGTCATCTCCGCTGAGGAGAGGCAGAAATTAAACCCATCACATTATCTACTTCAGTCTTCCCCTAAAAGATAATAATCTCTGAATAGGAAAAAAAAGTACATACTTTACTCAATATTTAATATTAAGAGTTTATTGGCAGTATCACAAAGTCAACATGGTTACATTAAAAATTCATATTGGAGCAGAACATCTGGTGTTTGTTGAGTGTAGTTGTTTTCAACTTTATTTGTCTGTTGAGGAGTAAAACCTTTGAGAAATGCATGGATATCCATGGCAGGGTCCTTTGAAGACCCTCTGAAATGAGACAGATTGTGTCATCCCCAAAGGCATCTGCCATTCAGTGGGAAAGTCCAAGTAGCATATTCAAAAGTTCCTTCTTAGTAAAAGATGAGTATTGAAAATTCTTGATACATCATAGTTACTATAAATTTGTATTTTCCATTTAACGTAAAAGGACTCACAATGTAGAAATACAGTGGAGAGAGTTCTGGAGCAGAAACTGCTTCTGTGCCCAGTAAGAGAGTAATATAATACCCAAGGACATGTAATACCTAATGACAATCATTGTGCTCTGTAATTAATTGACAGGATAAACACATATTTAATAGGTAATATTATCAAGACACATTTTTATATAAAGTAATAACTGCTTTTGAATTTTTTCAAAAACAAGGACTTATTTGTTAAAAATCCATTATCGATCACTTGCAACTTTAGTGGCAAGATTCTGGTAACTGAGAAGAGTAATAGCACTTAAAACAGGAACAGTTTAACAGCTGACAGTCCATTCACAAGACAGATTTTGCAAACATTAAAGCATCTAAAACACAGTAATAATTTCTTCAGCAGCTTTTCTGTCATCATCTGAGGACACATCACTGAGTATTTCATACATACATTCTGTGAGGCAGATAGTCAATACAGACAAAACAAAATCCACCTCTGACAGTGTGAGAAATCTATCATATCCCGATCAGTGTAGGACCTTCAAAATAATTTAAGGGATGCTTACAAACACATTCATATACACAAGGGGCTGGCAATCTGTATATGTTGCCAGGTTTTCCACAATCCATGCCACACCTTGGCTTCAAGACTTCTCTTTTCTTCCATTGCAGGAAGGTTCTTCCAGAAGCCTCAAATGGGCAATTGATTCATCACCCCTAGAGAATAATGGTCTGGTAAGCTTCAGAGAATCACTGGACAGTTTCTGTGGAAAGTCTGCTCTCATACAAGCACAGAGCATGGTGCACAAATTCATACTGCTCACTGGTCTGGACCATTCCACCCCTGAAAGGAAAAGATAAGACAATAAGCTTCCTGGGACCACCTTGCCATCTCAGGCAACACAGAGACTGTTGTTGGGGTACAAAGGAGACCGTCCATACTCCTCTGCCTTCTTCTAGGTTGGTAAATAATCAGATAAGTATCAGCTAGATTGATAAGTGGAAAAAAGACAAAAGATTCTTAATAACAACTTGTATGTTTTTCTGTCCACAGTGACACAGCCGGATTGAGTAAGTTACATGGCCTCCAACACCATCCTCAGTGGCTTAGCTTAAACAAGAGAGGTTGGTGGGAGGGCTTTAAAGAGGAAGTTTGATTAGGAGTTTGACAACTGTACACAGATCTCAGATCTGTATTCTCCTCTGAAATAAGGAGTTAGGTCTTCCTGAGAGAAGTCCTTATGGAGAGGTCTCATATGTCAAAAGCAAATCCACTCAACCTTGAGAGTCCCCTCCCATGAAATCAAACTTTGCCAAAAAAGATACTTTTGGGCATGGCAGAAGGTGCCTCTCCTCTACCACTTCCAGGGTCAGATGTTAGGGCAAAGATACACGAAACAGATAGCCATGCAATTATTTTGTTATTCTTCTTACCAATGTCCAAATTACCCAGCTGGTGAAATTAAGATGCTAATGTATGTAAAAGGACTAACCCAGTGCCTGGCACACCTGACTCTTGATTCATTTTATTGGGATGCAGTGCAGCCTAGTGATTAAGTACTTGAACCATGCAACCAACCAGGCTGTCTGTGTCCAAATTCTCTGCCAATTCTTAGTTGTGCGATCTGGGGGAAGTTCCTTTAAATGTTTTGTGCCTCTGTTTCCTCCTCTGTTAAACTGAGATAATAAAAACACCTATTTCAGGTAGCAGTTCTCCTGCCTGCTTGTGCCTATGCAGGCCTCCCTTTAACACACCTGTCCCTCTCCAGGGCAGCTCTTTCTGCTCAGTGTGCCTGCGCAAGCATCCTTTACTTCTCTTTTTATAATAAACCTGTCCTTTTCATATATAAAAAAAATCGCCACTTATTTCACAGGACTTGGTGAGGTTTATATGAAGTCACGTATCTCGAGTTTTCATATTATTCTTCGGTAGTAGTATCTTTCATTTTTTGTTAAAATGTCTCATGCCTTTGGATTAAAATTAATTGGTGTGCATTTACCAAAGAAAACTCAACTGTGAAATGTCCTTTCTACAAGTAAAAAGAGTAACTAAACTTTGGAAAGGTCTAGTGGAGTGTGGTGTATGGAAACAAACAGTCTTTGGGTGCGGTGTGCTGGATGGGTGTCTGGACACAATAGTGGGTGGACCTTCAAATGAGTTGGGAAAAGGGAATTAAATGCTTGCACCCAACTCCCGTTTTGTTACTTCTGTTATCACTAGTTACTACGCAGATCTTTTGTTTTGGATTAGTAGAAGGTAGTGACCTTCAGGAGAAATAATGATGCTTTACATTATAATATTTTTATACATAAAATAGCTGTTACTCATTTTGCTGTTAATAATGGCTCTTTTATTTGGCACAGATACCAGATAGCAGGATAAGTGTTAGTTATTTTTCTTGCTCACTGAATAATATCCTCACTGTTGGGAGCTACTTGAAGTTCCATAAAGTCTCCATAAATCTGTAACTGTATAACTAATCAGAAATTACGTTTTAACTAATTTTCCCTTGTGGCTTTTATTATTCAAAATGGTTATTTTTACACCATTTAAAAACTTCAACTTAAAAGCAAGAAATATTGCCTCACTGTAAAATGGTATTTGGTTAATGGCAATAACTAGAATTGAGCTTGTATCTCTGTTTACTTGTTAATGTCTATAAATATAAGCTTACAGGACATTAAAGCAGTAAGACTCACCCTTCTAAACTAAGTCAATTGGCACCATGCCAAACGATGTATTTGGCAAGAAACAAAGAATTAAAAGCACAGTATTTGGTGATAGCAACTTATTCACAGAAATATGCCCTTAGTCTTTCCTCTTGTAATTGTACTTTTGGTTGTCCTGAAAGCAACTTTCTGGCGAAAGCATTCCTTAGTTGTAAGCTGACAACAGAAACATCCACTTGGGGATATGGTAATTCTTTCTCTTGGTGGATGGTGACATCTGGACACATCTAAAAACATAGCAGGTGTCTGGCAGATGCTGCCTTTGACTGAGAGACTTGGGAGACAGAGACATTCATAGCAAAGATTAGAGGGAAGCTCCTCCCTCCCTCCAGCATTCACTTAGCTCAGACAACCATGTCTTCTGGCCCTTGAGGTCACTTACATGTGATCCACCTCATGGGCTTTTTTTCTGTGAGCCTCCTCTCACCATTTACCTCATGTTATAGACCCCAACCCAAAAGAGTGGGTCCTTTGTCCTGTAGGGAAATCACTCAGCAGAAAGTGAAAGGTACAGTTGAACAAGATAAGATTTTTTTTTTAAAGATTTATTTATTTATTCATATGAGAACTGGGGTACAGGCCAGAGGTAGGGGCTTGGGGGTGCTGGGATGAGGATTCACCAGAGATAGAGTGGGAAGCAGAACAGGCAGATTGAAACACACTGCTGAAGGGAGCAGTGGCTGAGAAAGGAGAGGTCTGCTGCGCCCCATGAGTCATCTCCCTGGCCAGGGATTGAACTTACGTTGCAGTGGCTTCCTAGGGCTGCACTTTAAGCCGCTGCACCACCAGGAAGGGCCCAACATGGTAAGATTTTTATTAGAGAGGCTCATGCATGAAGGAGCCAGTGTGGAAAAGGAGAGTGTAGTCTGGCCTCTAGAAGGGAGCCAGAAGTGGATAATTAAAGGTTAAGTTCAGGCAGGGAGGAGAGCAGTGTCTCTCCTGTTCTGGGTTGGGCATGCCTGGGCCTATGCAGAGGGGTTACATTCTCACTGCACATGGGGCTCTTGACCTTCTCCCCTCCAGGAAATTGCAAGATAATCATTAGCCAGGGTCTAACACTTTTTGTCTGTCATGGTCATTGCAGTGGGTCAAGTTGTTTGTACAGAGCTCACCAGTCCACCTGTTCAAACAGGCACTAGGGCAACTCATCCTACCGGCTTGTGCTATCTTTCACCAAGCTGCCTTCTCACGTTAAGGCAAGATTTCCCCCTCCTTGTATATTCTAGTGAGCTCTGGTATTTCCATGTCCAACTGGTAAATGAAACATAACCTACATTCTATTCACAGTATATTTTAGTGCTTTGGGTAGATTTACAATGGCATTCCATTTATCTAAGGAAAGATTGTTTTAGCCAAAAAATGTAGGAAATAAGAGGAAACAAACTCATGAGTTGTAGGTTAGCAAAATTCTTGTGGGTCCGAAGACTTAAGGAAGGAAGGCATATGAAAAGTTGTTATACTTCCCACTTAATTTGGAAAATAAGAGTGAAAGAGCTGCCATCAGAAGGGTCCTCAGAGATTTTTCATTTTGATGGCTGACACATTGTAGCCCTTTCAGAGGCAGGCAGCAGATGGTCATCTGATTTCTGCCGAATGCTCATAGACCCAAATACCAACTTTCCCAAGTTGGCAGGAAATCTTTTGAAGCCATCAAAATAAATCTGCCCCTCTCTAACTTTCACCCCATTGGTTGAACTGAAATAACCCAAAAAAGTCTTAGAGCTCCTCTTATAGTCAAACAATAGCTCTCTAAATGCTGGAAAACAACCATCAAAGTCCCATAATCTTTTCTTCTCTAGACTAAACATCCTGTGGTCACTCAATATTTCTATACAGCCTGGTTTCCCCGTCACTCACCAGTTTCATCTCCTATAGGACATTTTACCAAATATGCCCTTCTTCATCTGTTATGTCTATCCCCAATGAGATCTAGTCAGTGAGAATATTTTCTTCTCTGACCTGTACAATAGGACAATGGTCTGTATTTGCAGGTGGATCAGGTGATGAGATCCCAGACCTACCTGGTCTCTGGGGCTTTGCAATCATTTTAAGATACTGAGTGAAGTTTAAGTTAATGAAAAAGTCTGCAGGACTTTTTCTGAAAGCAAAAGTACAATCTCCCCCCACTCCCCCATTCTTACATTATTGAAATTTTAAAACCAAATGCAGGACTTTTATTTATTCTTATTAATTTCAACTGGTTGGTTGTAGCACAATCACTGTTTCTATATCAGTATATTAGCTCCCATTTTTCACTCTTACTTTGGGCTCTCCAGATATTTAACAAGCATGCCTTGTATCTTTGTCGTTTATAAAGAAGATAGGACCTATGTAGGGTATTTTTTTTTTTAGGTGGGGTCTTTAGTATAAATAATTTATATCATGTTATGTGCTGCTTAATTCCAGTCCAAAATTGTTTCCAACTCAGTGGTAGCAACAGTGAAAAGCACTTACTAGTCCTAAGTAAATAAATACCGGTTAAGTAGGTTATGCCAATTGTGCTATTTTATAACATGAATACAGCTAACCTCTGAGATAAAAGAAGGCAAAGAGCACCCTGGGATTCCTTCACTAAGCACTACTTCAAACTCAGGAACTCATTGCAATCATCTTTGGAAATATTTAATAAATGTTAATTGCATAAATGGCATATAGACTACTTTGTTGACCTTTGCAAGAACTTAAAATCTATTATCATTCCATGGATTTTACTCCATTATGGGAGAAATAACTTTTTTAAGGTAAAAATACTTTAATAAGCTAATATAATTTAGGCAGTAGATAACCTGATATAAATTACTTATACTCAACCAGGATTAAGATCTTAAAAGATTTCCATGGTCTCAAGATGAACACCGCCCATGGGGAAGTCCTAAGGGACCCAAAATAGCCAGAGCATCATTAGTTAGGCAGCCTGCCTCAAATCACCAACATTACACAGTACATTTTATTAGAGCAGCATGCTCCTTAGAGAATATACTTGGATACAAATCTTTCCCCAGGAGTTATGACACATTGGACTACAATACCTATTATCAAGGAGGAGTCAGTTTACCAAAAAATAGTAATGTCATATAAAAGCAAGGCAAGGGAAACTTGTTAGCTGTGAGACTG